ATGGTAGAGAGTTGCCCACAGTGAAGGCCCCACGGCTAAGTAAGTAACTGATCGCAGGCCCCTCTGCCCAACACACAGTGCTGCTGACTCGGTGGTATGAGAATTCTCCTCCATTCCAAACAGATATTTGTAAGAAAGCAGGGGAGGTCTTCCTCCAGAGCAGGGAAGTGAGTGTCCTCTCAGCAGCCTCTAGCAATGACTTTGAGCAGGTGTCACTTCTCATCCCGAAAACCAGGTGAGGGCATCTGTGCTCACCCCACCTCCAGCCTCGGCAGGCGAGGAGGCGGGAGAGGTTCAACTGGGGCCTCGGAGCCTTTGTACATGCTAATCCCTCAGGCAGAAATGCTCTTCCCTACAGTAGCTCCATTGCCTTTCACAGGCCTGCTCTGTCCTTCCTTCGGAGTCTCAGCAGCAAGGGCCCCCCCTTGGAGCTCTTCCTTGGCCGCTCCGTCTGAGGAGCTTGGCTGCCAACACTTCCTTCCCCCACGCACCGTTTTCTTCCGGATCCACATCATTACCTGCCACTAAATCGCTCACCATGAGTGCCAGTTTGTCCATCAGGCACCACGGAGACAGGGCCCAGGGCTCGTGGTACCGTCAGGGGCCCGCAAAATGGCTTAACGTCTTTTAAAATCAGAAGGTAAGAAATGAATGTGAGTCCGCCTAACATATTTGTCTTTGTTCCGACACAGTCATAAAAGCGAATTTGCATTATTTTGCATGAAGGGAGGGGTCCGCACAGCCATGCTGTCATGCCAGGTACCGTTTCCTGTGCTCCCCAGGTGCAAGCTTCGCGGGGCAGACGCCTTGTCCTGTCGCCCACCTCCAGGGCCCGTGGCAGCGCTGGGATACAGCAGACACCAGGAATTAGTGCATGAGCAGGTGAGTGGAGGAAGGCTTCTGGCCAAAGAGGAAGGTTGGGCTTCCTCCAAGCGGTCCCCGTTCCTATAAAGGGCACCGAGGTTTGGCCGCCCTCGACGGTGGTCATCCCTGTGTATGGTCTGCCGGCTCCTCCAGCGGTGACCCGGCCCGGACCCCTGTGCCACATCAGCCCCACTGGAGGTCAGTGCCTCCAACAGGGCGTGGGCACAGGATGGGAATGGCGGGGAGCTGGGGTTGGGCTCCCAAGCCCCTACTCCAGCCACGGGAGAGCGCAGGAAGCTGCAGCTGTCACGCCACCAGCACGCACGGCCTGAGGCACGTTGTGAGGACCTACTGAGGCTGGCTAGGAAGTTCCGTTAGGCCCCAAAACTTTGTGGCGGGAGAGGGGAACAAGGCCTTGAGAGGAGGCCAGGAGCTGCATTGTAATGGATTGAATGTGGCCTTAAAACAGATCTGTCCACGTCCTAATTCCACCTGTGACCTGATCTGGTAAAAAGGTCTTTGCAGGTGAAATTAAGGATGTTGAAATGAGATCATCCTGGATTATCCAGTGAATCCTAAAGCTGATGACAAGTGTCCTTCTAAGAGACAGGCACAGGAAAGACACATAGGAAAGGCAGAGGCAATGTGAAGACAGAGCCGAGACTGGAGTGAGAACAGCCACAGGCCGAGGAAGCCAGCAGCCCCAGCGGCCCGGAGACCCGTGGCAGGGTTCTCCCTGCAGCCTCTGCACGCGGCACAGGTCTGCAGACACCCTGACTGGTGACTTCTGGCCTTGGAACTGTGAGAATACATTTCTGCTGTTTTAGGCCCCCATTCTGCAGGAACCAGTGACGGCAGCCCCAGGAAACGAATACACTCACCTTCTCCAAAAGATCTAAACAGAGGGAAGGACTCAGAATGTACGTGTGAGAATTCTCGGAGCAGATGGCCTCCGGGACCACCGCTAGCCAACCCCCAGCCTCCCAGGGAGGCCCACACAGCCTCTGTCACTGGCAGGCAGGGGAGGACTCACAGGGAAGGCCGCCGGCCCCAGCCCGGGAGGGAGCTTCGAGTTCAGCAGTGCGCTCGCAAGGGAGGGCCTCGGGCGGTGTGGAAGCAGGAGGGAGACCCAAGGCCTGCACTGGTGGTCCGGGAAGCCGGCACTGGTTCAGGGACTGACACCTGGGATTGGGGGACCTCTCTGCACCCGCTCAGTGTGGCCCGCAGGGACGTCAGGCCAAGCCGTGGAAGCCATGGGACCCGACACAGGAGCTCAGAGAGCAGGCGATGAAAAACGGCTCCACGGCGAAAGCGAGCAAGAGAGGTGGAAAGCAGGAAGGGAAATGTGAAGGCTAAAGATGAGGCCACGTGTGGTGCTTCAGCCACAACACACCTGCCTACAGGGCCCCCAAAAGTTGCCAGACCAGGGGGGTGGGCGTGCCAGGGATGAAGAACGTCTGCCCTCTCTGCTTCTTCCTGAAGGCGTGGCCCTCTCTGCCCAGCTTTTACCTTCCTGCTCTTAATAGACACATGCGTACGAATACCCAGCTCTCTGCAACTGTTCAAACAGCAACTGATGTTCACCCCTTCGTGAGAGAGGCAATTGGGAGTAGTGGGGACTATGGCAACAACCACTCTTTGGCTCCAGCCGAGAGTGTCCATGCAGGAAGGTGGCCCAGGGTAGCCACCTCTGCCCATTTCTCAAGGGAAGCCAGAACTGGGGATTTTTTTTTTCACCCCCAACCTTCTGGTTCTCAAAAGCATGTTGGCCATGAATTCATTTTTTGAAGATGTAGAAACACCACGCGGAGGGGTGGGGGTGGGGGAGAAGACACGTCTGCAGGCCGCATCTGGCCCTCCAGTTTGTGGCTCTGGTCTTTGGCCTGGAAATAGAACAAAAGCTAACTTGCGCATCGGGACAGTGACAGGAGGGTTTGGAAATCACAGGGGCTGGAACTTGTTAGGAGCGGCTGCTTCATTGGAGGCAACGGGGGAAGAGCGAACAGTCTGGCCAAGTAACAGCTGGGGTTCTAACATCCATCAGGTGACCTCAGTGTGCACTTCAAAGCAAGAAGGAACCTGAGCTGTTGTTCCACACTGCATGGCTGAGTGCTGCTCTGTGCACAGTTAGGCGGCAGGCCCTGGGCTGCCTCCACCAGGCCCCCAGGGGTCCCTCCACGGCTTGAGCTGGGAGCCAACAGCAGCCCCCAAACCACTGAGATAATTTGCACTGGACAATGTTGGCTCTGGGGCCTGTGCTGCCTTAGTTTTGGGTGTACACTTCCCCCACTGCGCCTTTTTTTTTTTCCTTTCTTTCTTTCCTGTGCCTCTATTTTATTGGGATGACTAAATCTTTAAGCTATGTTAGCAGTAAACAGAGCTAATTTACCCCCTGCCTCTTTGAAACAGCTGTTGACAGCTGCACTGTAATTCAATCAAGGATCTTTGTAGTGGAGCCTACCAAATTCCCATTTGTTGTTGGGTTCCATCTCTCCTGCCTGGAGCCCCACACAGCTGCACCAAACATTGACGAGCGCCCCTTTCTCCCCAGGGCCTGGACGATAAACAGCATGTTAATGGTGGGGGCCAAGGCAGAGAGTTCTTAGCAAACCAAGAGAACTCCAATGTCCAGGAGTTGAGAGAAAAAACAACACACACAGACATACACAGCCCCAAGAATCAGAACCAAATGTCTCCTTTTATTGAAAAGTCAAAACCCTTTTTATTTTGTCTATTTATACAGAAAATTCGCGGAAGACTGCTCTATGCAACAGCTGAAGGTACATTGGTCTGATCATTAATAAATAGTCTTAAATAAGAAAACAAACAGGCTGGGGGAAGTGAGCTCATCATCCTGAACAAGGGATCGAAGGAGGGTGTAAAATGAGCTTCCAATGGACATAAATAATTTCTTTGTTTTGTAACAACTATTTACATGTTTCAATGTACAAAGGATGCTAGCCAGAAACCAGGTGGGGCTTGAGTGGTGAGAAAACTTGCACCAAGAGGGAACCACACAGAAATCCCCAGGTCTGCCAATAGATAAAACAAAGTACGGCAAAAACAGTGACTCTTCCCCATTGACCAGGCAGAGTGGAGGCTGTGGCCTAAGCTACTGAAGAAGAAAAATAAAAGAAAATAAAAATGGGGCCCCAGTGTTTCTAGGAACCAACTAAATCAAGGTGGAGAAATGATTCCCTGCTGGACCGGGTTCCAGGGGCATAGGACTCGCCTGGATAACCCTGTTCTTTGTTAACAGACAGCCCAGAGCTCCGCAAGGCCTGTGTCTCAGCCACAGGCTGGGTGCACAGCATTTAGGGGACCCGCTGGCCAAGGCAAGGGAGGCTCACGCCAAGAGCCACATCAGAGATGGCACCTTTGAACTGGAATGCTCAATTAGGACATCACTCTCAAAGCAGTTTCTAGATCCTTCCATTTGAGATTCACGTCCAGCATACCCTGCACCTAGCAGTTCTCCACCATGCCATCTGCTCCTTACCTCAAGGAGCTTATTGTTTTCAGAGCCCTCGGTAGGGGTCTGCCAATGAGAACAGGTGGCTACAGAGGCCCCGGTTGGAACCCAGACTCCAAGGTCCTGCTGCCAATCATGACGAACAGGGGAGCCCAGCTGGGGGAGGGACAGTATGCCTGCCCATCCCACCCCTATCCAGAGTGAGGTTTCGTTGGCACTTCTTTAAATAGGGCCTTGTTAGCTAGAGTTCAGGGTCAAGTTGTGGGTTCTCTCCTGATTGCTGTCCCTTCCGCCCTGTCATTCCACATTGATTTTCTACCACTCGGAGAGCTGGAAAACCAATTCCAAATGTCTGTCGGCGCTTCACATGCCTAATTTAATTTCTGCCGCCACACACCCAGCCGAAGGATGGAACATATTTTTCCTTCAAGGTCAATACACCCCCTCCTCCAAGCAGAAATTTGCCCTCTCCCTTCCCGGTCAAATCTTGGATTTGGACAAGTCTATGTAAACAGCAGGCCTCTGCAAGCCTCAGAATGAAACCAGAATGGAACAGAGAGGGGGCCTCCCCTGCCTCCACTGGCCATAGCTTCTGTTTATGAAATCAGAGTAAACCAAGAAATGGGGATAAATTGTTTAGGAAAATATATCTGTAACATCCTAACCATTTTCATTCATTCGTTTTATTGTGACATTTATTACAGGAACTTCCGTGTCAATTTTCCTTGCGCACAGACACAAACGTGCCCACCCCTGGCCGTGCCCCCTTCCTCCCACTGCTGGGTGGCCTGGCTGAAGGGTGCTCCTAATTACCCCTGGGAACGAGTCAGTGCACGGCTGAGACTTCATAGCCAATGATCGTGGCTGGGCAATTTTTCTTTATATTTTTTTTTTCCTTTAGGTTTTGCCTGCCGCAGCGTGTAGGATCTTGTCCATAGGAGGCGGATGAAAACCTGATCAAAAGGCATTTGCCTCTCAAATTCCTTAATCCTCCTACGCCCTTAAGGTTGGGGACAGGGGCAGGGCAGGTCTCACGAAAGGCAGTTGCTGTGCTGGGCGGTGGCAGGCACTGGGCGGTGGGAGACCGAGGACCCCGAACAGTGTGGCGCCAGAGGGTCTGACCTCCAGGAGGCGCTAGTGGCAGCCACAGGCTCGGACGACCATGTTTCTGTATTTCTTCAGGATGACGTTGGAGCTGTCGTCAAAGTAGAGGACAGAGATGGCGTTGAGCTGAGTAGGGGCACAGCAGGGCTTGGGCACCGTTTCGGGGTTGATGAAATGGACCTGGAACACACAGTGAACGGCGGCAGTGGTGAGAAGCGCTGGGTCCCTGCTCCCCGGCCTCCTCATTTCTAAGGACCGCCAACTGCTTGGGCAAAGTGACCGCACGCGACACTTCCCCCGGGGAGTGACTGCATGTGACACTTCCAGTTCTGGCCCATGATGCATAACCTCTGTTGTGCAGACCAGGGACCCAGAGCATAGAGGTGTCCGCAGCACACAGCTGGGAAGTCAGCGGCCAGGTCACTCTCCACTGCCCCGCGGTCCCGTGCATTGCCGAGTGTTTACCAGCGTCCCCCACGAGAAGCCAGGGGCACTCAACCGCCAACCACAACCACCAAAAATGTCTCCTGGGAGGCAGATCTGCCCCAAGTGGAGAACACCTGGGTCAAACAGAGTGGGCCAGCAGGCCAGATCCTGTGCCGCTGCCTGGTTTTGTGAATAAAGTTTTATTAGCACCCGACCACGCCCATTGGTTCCCTAGTACCGAGGGCTTCTTCTGCACTACCATGGCCGAGCTTAGGAGCTGCAACAGAGGCCTTATGACTCACAAAGCTAAAAACATTTACCATCTGGCCTTTTTCAGAAAAAAGTGGCTGACCGCTTCGCCAGACCTGTCCTGTCCAAGAAAAATACAATGCAAGTCACACTTGTAATTGAAAATGTTCTAGCGGCCACATTTGAAAAGAGGAAAAGAGATAGGTAAAAGTAAACAATAGATTTCATTTAACCCAGTATTTCAAATATATTATCATTTCAACACACACCTACCATGAAGAACTTTTTTTTTTTGGCACCAAGTCTTCAAAACCTAGCATATTTTAGACTGACAAAGCATTTTGATTCAGACTGGTCGTATTTCAAGGGCTCAAGAGCCATGTGTAAAAGTGGTTACTGTATTGGATGGTGCAGGTCTAAATTATACCAGACGATTCTGCCTCTTGAGCAGTGAAACTAGGAGGACAAACCTGGGCAAACACTTGGGTGGAAGTCCACGAGAAAGAAGAGGGTCTAGAAAGGAGGAATAAAGGAAGAAGCCAGCTAGCTGAGCAGGTTTGCTGCTCCTTCTTGCTCGTGGGATTCTGTGCACCTTACAGGGGACGAGGGCCAGGGCCAAACAAACTCGAAGGCCCAAAGGGCCCACGCAGGCACCACTGACAAGCAAAGGAGGTGAAGAGTAAGACAAGAGGGAATAGTGAGGGTTGGGGCAAACCCGAGGGCGGATGCTGCCAGCTGACCGCGGCCAACCAAAGTCAGTGCAGTTGGGTGTGCCGAGTGTCCACGACAGGCCAGAGACTTGGTTCTGCTTTGTTTGGATGTGAAACTTCCAGGTTTCCAACACACCACGTGTGCCAAGTGAAAGCATTCTGGAAGCCTCCAGCCTGTGACCTCTGGCATAAGACAGCACACTGAGTAGCTTCTTATTATGGATGATTTCAAACCTTACAAATCTAAACCTTCCCCCCACCTCCTCCACCCTTGAATAATTTGAAAGCAAATCCCAGACATCAGCTCATTTCCTCTGTTTTTCACTAGGACTCCCATAAGGCAAGGACTCCCCCCACCATTTTTTTTTTTTATTTGCTTCAGAGGTAGAATTTAGAGATTCATCAGTTGCACATAATACTCAGTGCCCATTCTGCCAAGTGTTCTCCTTCATGCCCATACCCAGGTTACCCCCTCCCCTGCCCACCTCCCCTCCAACAACCCTGTTTGTTTCCTAGAGCTCAGCATCTCTTATGGTCTGCCTTCCTCTCAATTTTCATCTTATTTTATTTTTTCCTTCCCTTCCCTCTTTTTAAACATGACCACAGAACCTCTTGTTAGGATAATCAGACAGCTCCTTCTGATCCCAGAGCTCCCTAGTGACACGCAGACTGAGTGGGTGATGAGGGGACAGCCAGGCTCCCGCTGTACGGGCCATGAAGCAGGGCTCAGAGGGCAGAGGTGTGCCCCTGGCAGCCTGGGAGACCCCCCTGGCACCTCCTAGGGGCATGGGGCAGGACCTTAGGGGGCACGTGGGCACAGGAGAACAGGCCCAGGCCAAGGAACAGGTTGGGGGCACTACTGGTTTCCAGCCCAAGGACTTTCAATCCCGAGCAGGACGTCAGAGTTTACCTTTGGGGAAGGAAGGGCCTTGGAAAAGCATGGCTAAAAGAGAAGCCTTCACTCAAAGGGCAGAGCATGGTCCAAATGAAAGGACTAAGGGAGCTTTCTCTCCAAGACATAACACATAGGGCAGGAACAAGTCTGCCACTAAACAAAAGAAGCCAAAAGCTTCAGAACAAATAGAACTGTAGGACAGAGGGGATGGCCCTGGGTAGTGAGCTCTCTGTCACCAGGAGCATTCAAGCCAGGGAAAGGCCCCAATAATGTTTATGGCAGGGAGCTAGATAACCAAGATCCCTGAACCTCAGATCCTAAGCCGAAGAACCAAGTTCCTAATTTTTATCACTGCTGCTATTTTCAGGAGAGTAAAAATGACTTCTATCAAGGGTCACCAGGGTTGGGTACCCTGTTAAGAGCTTATCTTCTTATCACAGTGAATCCTGCAAGGACCCCGTGGAAGTGCAGCCTGAAACAGCCCCCGCCCCGCCCCATCTCTCTGTCCTGTCTGCCGGCTTCCTACCACATCCTCCACTCACGCATCCTCCGTTGTTCACCTGACTGCTTCTCTCCCTGGAAACTGAGGCCCCAAGGGCAGGGACCAGGTCTATGCTGTTCCCGGTGGCATCCTCAGCTCCCAGTGCGGGATCTACCTGCAGGAGATGCCCTTGGATGACCGAACCCCAAAGTTCAAGGCTAGGGGGCAAAGACATGCGCTCGGGGAGGCGACGGGCTCTCAAGCCTGCCTGAACCCAGGAAAGCCCAGACTTTGGGGGCCAGGGGTGGGGACACCTATGGATGCGGAGCAGACACGCGGACAACCAAGAACAGTCGCCCAGAGAGTGGCAGGGCCAAGGCTGACTTCACCGTGAGGCACAGTGACCATGAGCCAAGATACCTTTAGGAGCCCCTGAAACTGTTCTTATTTCTTTTCGAATTAGGAGAAATCCGTGAACTTTAGGGTTGGAGACTACACACATCTTTATGCCAATGCTGTCATAAAATATGGTTTTTCATCTTTTTTCGTTTTTATGGAGGAAGGGGCCCACGACAGGAGGAGCACCCAAGGCCCATGAAAAGTCAGGGCCCAGCCTGGAGGAGCACAAGGCAGGGCCGGGCGCTCCCTCCTCCCCCACCCCGCTGAGCACGCCCGGAGGGCACGCAGGCCACACTCACCAGTGTCTGCACGATGGCATGGTTGGTGGCGTTCATGTAGGAGTTCAGAGGAAAGGCACACTCGCCCTCACAGTAGTAAGCAGCATAGCCTTCAGGAGCGATGATCCAGTCCTGCGGGAGGGAGAGCGTGAGCCCCACATGACCTTTCTCGCCCCAGCCCACTCCTGCGGGCCAGACTCTGTGCTCCCAGGGGACCAAGCCGCGGCCCACACCGTCCCGCGCAGCTGAGGGTCCCACAGAAACGGGACAAATGGAGGCTAGGCTATCAAGGCCCCCCACAGAAGGCAAAATGAGGGAAAGACCACCCAGGGGCTGGGCTGAGCCCAGAACGGACGCTTGCATGGCCTTACTGGGAGATGGCCCAGACAAGTGTGACCGGGGTGGCTTCAACTCTAGCGCTACAAGGTGCTTACATGTTGGCAGTTTGCTTTAAACAAAATCTCCATGCCTCAGGTCACCGACATGGGAGAGAGACGACTAACCCACAACACTGAGAATTAAGTGACTGCAGACGAGCCAGCCAGCGCCTGGTGCCATGTGTGCGGCTCAGTGAAGGATGCACACGGCCAGGCCTGCCTTCAGGGCTGGGTGAGCACAGGAATACCGTTCCAGCAATATGTACACCCCTCACGGGCTCAAGTCCGTGGACTCCTCCCGCAGAGGAGCTGGAGTCTGGGGCTCGGTTCCAGCCCCAGGGCGCAGGCACGGCCGGGCGCCCTGCAGAGCACAGAGCCACGGGACGGCTCCACACACTGGCCATACGCTAATGCCCTGATAAGTGTGCTTGGGCACGATCCCTAGGGAAGAACCCGGACTCCCCCACCGGACCACAAGCTCGCTGAGGAGTGAACAACAAAACCAGCGGCCTTGGTGATCTCAACGCCCCGTTCGGGATATTTGAGCTCCATGAGGGCAGGCACACGGTAACGCTCCCTGCTGCATCTCCAGGGCCTGGAAGAGTGCCCAGAATCTCACAGATGCTCATAAACAGGCATTAGATTATATGACCCTCGTGCCTGTCCTAGGATTCATCTCCTGCCCTTCGCCCCATTCCATCCAAATGGTTCTGGAAGGAGCCGTCATGGTCCTATGACATGATCTCATCCCCCAAATAGCTGGCTGGTGCAGGACCAAGCAGCTGACCCGAGCTGGGCCAATCCGCCCCTGCCCTGGGAAGGGGAATCACAGAAGAGGGAAGGGCAGAGGGTGAAAGGTGGCCCTGCAGGCAGCTGGGTTCCAGCACACGGGCTCCACCACCTCTGAGAGAGGCAGGCAGCCGCAGGGTGGAGATAAAGTTCCCATGGAGAATGAGGCTCGGAGTCCAAAGTGTTGGGGCTCCCGGCTCTAACTGCAGTCTCCACCACATTTCTGCCCTTGCGTGTCATGAGGCATCCTGTATCCCTAACCTGACTTCTCTACCCTAGTTAGGACACTTGATTCTGGAGTCTTCGCTGAAGCCGATGAGAAACATGGCTCACTGCCCACACGGGACCCAGCCCCGCTGCCTTGGGGGGTGTGTGGGGACACCCACGCCAGAGCCCCGCCCCCCCCATCGGGGCCGATCCGGTCACCCGTCCTTACCTGCCAGCCCAGATCGCGGAAGCTGACGTACAGCTCGTGCTTCTTGCAGGCCTGCCTCTGGTCGCCGCTGCTGTTTTCTACGTTAGCGGGAGACGGGGTGCGGGCAGGGGAGAGGAAACACGCACACACATTAGGGTTTCCTCAGCCTAAGGCAGTGGTGTGAGAGCACAGTCGAATTCAGCTGGAAGGCAACCTTTCCGACACAAAAGCCGCTGAGTACCTGGAGCCTTAAAACTCATTTCCATCCCTAGCTAACGGCCTCCGTAAGAGGTGCCACCATCCCCACCCCTCTTCTGCCATCTTAGCTCCTAACGCTCTCTGGATCCTTCGGTGGACACTGGCCTTTTTGTACACGTGTTGTCTGGAGGCTGACCTCTGCCTGGATTCCATATAGGAATCCACGCACCACCGTGCCGGCTGTGGGAGCCTGCTCAGAGGGCACTGCCTCTGGCCAAGCTCACTTGCTGAGGCCAGCCCACCTCACGATGCTCACCCCTCTTCAAGGGCAAGAGGGGGCACAGACACGGCCTGGGACAAAGTCCCCACCACCAGGAAGAAATGAGAGGGCAGGAAGTCAAATCCCACTGACCTCCCAGAGAAACACACTACTGAGGTTTCTTTGAGAAGTAAAAAACTATGCACTGGGGTTTTCCAGAAGTAGGTAAGGTTTGTAGGCATTTGGGTTAGGGCTTGAGCACTTGTAAACACGTAGAAAGCTCTGCCCCCCTCTCTCTCACACTCACACACACAGACACACACACACTCTGGTGTTCCTGCACAATTTTCCATCGTGCAGCTATGGAGATTATTTTTCTTTTCTTTTCTTTTCTTTTCTTTTCTTTTCTTTTCTTTTCTTTTCTTACGCATGACTTGTCTTTCCTCCAGCTAAAACTTTCTAAGGGCTTTCTATCATGCTTAGAGCAATGCCTCAACTCCTGCCCCTGGCCTGTATGGACCTATGTGGCCCTGATTCCTAAGCCACAGCCTTCTTTCTGTGCTGTGGATGTACTGCCAAACCTGTTCCTACCCCAGGGCCTTTGCACTTGCTGTTTCAGCTACCTGAAATGCTCCTTTTCATAATCTTTGTATGTCTGGCTCTACTTGATATTCAAGCCTCACCTCGAATGTTGCCTCTTCTAAAAGGTCTTGTGAGGTCACCATTGGATCCCAGAGCCCAGTGTCCACCCATATTTGTGTAGTTAACACACAAATAAAGAAAACGTCAATGCCTCAGCTTCTGTCTACTGCTGTGATCCCTCCAGCCCTCAGAAGGTAATGAACACCAGTGGGTGAGGGACACGAGGAGAACTTCTCGCAGGATGGAGAGGAAAGCCCAGGAGATGACCCAGGTTGCGGGCTCGCCTGACCTACACTTGGGAAGCATCCAGATGCACCCGTTTCCCCCTGCCCGGTCAGCTCTCTCAGATGGCTGGGTGAGTGGCCCTCCTGGTGGCCTCAGGGGCTCATGGCAACCACAGCCCTTGTCAGTGATTGGTTCAGACCCAGGACTGAGCTCACCAGCTCCTATCTCAACCTTGGAGCGAGGATTGGCTCAGAGAAGAGCAAATGACCCCATCTGAGCCAAAGGGACACAGGTGGAAGCATGGTGGGGGCTTCTGGAAAAAGTTTTCTAATTCCCAAGAAAGACCCATGGGAAAAGATGCTCATCTCTTGCCCATATGGCCTGGGAACTGAAAAGGAGTAGAGCTGATGGTTACATGCAGCCACAGCCTCGAGGAGAAGCCAACACTGAACACGGTGGGCAAGGACAGGAAGCCAGGGCTTTCATTGTCCTTGACTTTCTGGATCAACCAACCCTCATGCCCACCCAACCTTGGCACTGGGAGCCAATAGCTTTCCTAGTGGTTGAAGCCACCTGATCTGTGTTTCTGAGACTTGCAGCCAAACCACCCAGGGGGTCCTACCTGGAAAGGTGCATCCCGGCGTGGGGGTGGTAGTCAGCTGGAGCCCAGGGATAGACCCCAGAGTACACCAGCTCCCAAGTGGAGTCTGGCCAGTGGGTCAGGACCAGGTAAGGGGGTGCCGCTCCAGCTCTGGAGTCAGCCCCTGGTTCTCCTAGACCTTGGGCTCCTCGTCTGCAGAGCAAGGAGAAAGTGCCTACTGGGGCAGCCGTGTGCGTTCAAATCAGTTTAGCACGACACTCAGCTCATGGCAACAAGATGCTAATGATCATCCTTCCAGCCCACCTGAGAGAAGGTTAAAACTATATGCAAACTTCATTCCCACACACACTCTTTAACCATTTGGAGTTAATGACTGCTTCCTCCAAACCCGACGACACGCCATGTTTGGAAGAAGCCAAATATCAGTTTCCTGCTGTCCCCTGATTCACAAGAATTCTATCTGCATGGCTTCTAGGTTAACGAGAAACAGTAAGATAAAAAGGATATCACTGAATTCCCTTCCCCGTACCTCAACTTCCCCATCTGTGAAATGGGTGTGAGAGTTGTGTAGGAAGCCACATGTGGCGACCATACACTGCAAGTCAGGAAGATCTCCTTGGGCACCTGCTGGGTGTTACGCTGTCCTAGAAGCCTTGAATGTGAATGTACAGCCACTCAGACTACTCCAAGGCTAGGAACAAATCTGAAATGAAATGGTGCGGGAGGGGAGTGAGAAGGAGAAGGAAGAACAGGGTCGAGGAGAAGAAAACAGGGAGGGCAGCAGAGAGTGCAGCAATCGGAAAATGGTCTCCAACAGGCTTTCCAGAAATGCGTAGGTCTGAGATGAGCACGTATTCATGGCTGGGTGGGTTCAGTCCTATGCAACTTCCACCTCCATCAGCCTCTGTGAATATTCCTGATTTTGTACATATCTTTATACCTATAGTTTAGGAAAGCAATTTTTAAAAAGCTGCAAACCACCGAGAAAAATCACATTGTATTCATTATGACAGAATTGCATGTGTCTTTATAGGAGGGATCCTGGCCCTTGGGGACACTCAGAGCTCCTGAGATGACCTCAGTTGGGGGGGGGGCGGGCACAGACTCACCACCTGGGTGCCTGGTGCACCATCCATCCATCCATCCATGCATGCATCCATCCATCTATCCATCCATCTATCCACCCACACATCCATCCATGCATCTATGCATCCATCCATGCATCCATCCACACATCCATCCATCTATCTGTCCATCCATGCATCCACGCATCCATCCATCCATGCATCCATCCATCTACCCATCCATCTATCCATCCATGCATCCATCCACACATCTATCCATCTATCCGTCCATCCATGCATCCACGCATCCATCCATCCATCTGTCCATCCATACAAACTGTTAATGAGTGTCTACTGGTTTGCAGATGCTGTTTTGGGCATTAGAGCTACAGGTAGGTATGAACAAAACAAAGCCTTGCTGCGGGGGCACTTATCTTCCAGTGACAGAGGCAGGCAGTAAGTCAGCAAGTAAACATAGACTACATCCTGTCGAGATGGAGAACAGTAAGGTAGGAGAGGAGGGTGTGCTTCCAGGGGGACTGTGGGACGGAGGGTGCTGACAGAAGGATCTTCTGAGTAAGTGATGTTTGTGTAAGAACCAAAAGGAAATGAGAGCCAGCCAGAGAGGCGCCCAAAGGAGGAAAATTCCAGGATGAGGATGTAGGGGAACGGAGAGGAAGGTGCCTTCCATGACTGGAAGGTCAGCAAGAACCCTAAGAGCAGTGGCTGCTGACTGAGGGACAGAGAGTCAGGCACTAGAGCCTTCCAGGAATGAGGAGGCACGAGCAGGGCTCAGCAGCGGGCAGCGTGGAGGGGGCAGAAGGTCTACTTTGCTGGACTGAGCTCCAAGGCTGGGGGCCGGGGGAGGTTGGGAGGACAAAGCAGCAATGGGGGTCCGGGTCCCCCTTCGCTACCTCTGGGCCTGGCAGCCCGAGGGCTGAGACAGGGAACCAGCTACAGGGGTAGCAGGGCCTCCAGAGGGCCAGGTGGTAATTAACATGTGAAGGTCGAGGTCAAGGGAACCATCAGAGAAGAGCTCCAAGAAATCTATCGGACCATTCGCAATACTGTCCAGGATGCACTGAGTGGAAGTCCAAAGATGGCCTCCATCGCTGCGGCAACGCCCACGGTCGCAGGAAGCAACGTCAATGCGTAGCCTCCTTCTCCCCCTCGCTGCAGGGAGGCGGAAGGTACAGGGGAGGGAGGAAGAGTATCCCTCAGCCAGTGATGCGTGAAGCAGCCTGAACAAGACAGAGGACTGAACACGTTAGCTTGGGACAGGGACGTGGCAAAGAAGCTTCGGGTCAAGCACCAACATTTCTGGCTGCTTGATGTCCTAAGTAAACGAGGATCCGAAGCTTTGTGAGGCTCAGTGAGAAGAAGGTGCCACAACTGATTAGTAATGTCTGCCACGGGCGGAGGTGGGGCAAGCATGGGCCTGAGTGCCACTTTTCCCAACCCTGTCTTAAAGCAAAGCAATGACATTTGGCTTCATGTTAGAACCCAGGCCCAAGAGACGAAGGCTGCGAGCAGCTTGTGAGACCAGCTGTGGGTGCCAGTAGGGGCTGGGCACTGGCCCTGTCACCAGAGACCCAGACACCTGCACCGCCCCTCCCGGCCTCCTTGGGCTGTGAGGCTGCTCTGGGAGAGAGGTCGGAGTCCTGTTTCCCGACGATCGCGTGTTAGCCGAAAGACTCAGAGAGGAAAGAAGAGATGCCTGTGAAGGAGACCCCCAGCTCCCCCGTCCCTCTGGTCCGGACCCCCAACCCCGTGCGGCCACTTCATTTGCCTCAACCGGCCTCTGCCTGAGCGGCTCACAAGTTACAACCCCCAGATCATTTGGGGAAGATGCCTAATTCCCAGGGGGTTGGGTGCAAACGTGGGTGGGGAGAAGAAAGTGGTCTCTCAACCCCAAACCACATGCCCTAAGAGCAGGTGAAGGCTCTGGGGCGGGGTGATCAGCCTACAGGGAAGAAAGCTTTGCAGTGGACAGCAGGTGGGAGCGTGTGTACCCCTCCCACACATCAAGGGCCGCCACATGAGAGGACTCAGCAGGATTCCCAGCCGTCACATGAGGTAAAGCCCTTCAAAAGGGTGTGTATGTGTGCATACACACACATTCAGACATTCTGGTTTACCAAGCCTGGGGTGCGGCCCAGGCCTTGGTATTTTTTTTTTTTTTTAATTAAATTTCCAGGAAGGGTTGAGATAAACTGCAAAAGGGGCCGGGAAGTAGAAAGTCCCAGGACGGAGACAGATTCCAGGCAAGCTAGAACAGCTGTCATGTGAGAGAGTGAGAGCCCCGTCCTGGGGGTTATGTAAATGGAGTGCTTGGTGGGGATGCAGGGGGGGAAACTGGGTGTCGAATTCTAAGACTTTGAGGCCTGGTCCCTCTTCCTTCGTTACATCCGACAGGCCTCCAAGACGCTGGGTCTGTGAGCATGGAATGTACCAGCACGTCCTGCCTGGCTGATATGGAAAGACATCTAAGAAGTCTCCCTCCTCTGACCCTCCCTGAGCACCCCACCCTGCTCCCCACCATTCTCAGTGCAGCCAGAAGGATCATCTGATCACCCCTGCCCCCACACCATAGCTTCAAACTCTGCAGAGGCTTCCAAATTTGTTTTGGATGAAGTTCAAACTCAAGATGTGACTCTGAAGAGGACTCTTGATCTGGCTCACCTTGCCAGCCCCAACCTCCCCTTGTTCCACGGCCTCCCTCTCCCCTCAAAGGAGCGCCGCCGCCTCCCACCCTAAGCCCCTGTGCCTGTGGGTCCCACTCCCCAGATCACTCTGGTCGAGCCGACCCAGCCAGGCCTCAGGGGCACCTGCTAGTCCTTGAGTTCTTGGCAGGGCAGTCTTCTCTGCAGCTCCCTCCCCCGGGACGTGTCAGTGCCCTAGTCACCATCCCCTGCCTTCAGGCCTGTTAGTAAGTGACAGCCACCTCCAGCCTGGCCCAGACCCCGAGGGCAGACCATGGCTGGCTTTCCCCAGGGGACCCCAGCCGCTAGGGCCAGCACAGACGAGGTTCCCACTGCAAATTAAGGGATTCCGTTGGATTTTCATTAGGGGGCCTTACAGAGCCTTCCAAGAAACCTGAAAAAAGAATGGATCCACCTGCCAGGGAAGAAGCCCTCCAGAATCCCTGCTCTAAAAACTTCACCAAGCACAGCGACCGTTCCTTTCTTCGCCTTCAAAAAGGAAAATGAACAGCAATAGGAAAACTGGCTACATGAAGCCAAAGAAGCTGATGACAGTAAAAGGTTAGTCTGGGGGTGGGGGCCGCTTGGAGGCCATGTGCCCCCCGCCCCCACCGTGTGCCCCTCCGGGCACAGCTCAGCTCAGAGCTTCCCACGCGGCCGGCAGGTTAATTCCGCTGCAGACCCTGCCTGGCCTCGCAGCCCACCCAGAGCTGAGATGGCGCAGGGGCACGTGGAGTAAACCACTCTGCAAACGCGGTGGGTCCACTTCCTATGGCTGCTTTAACGAATTATCACAAACACAGCGGCTGAAAACAACACCAGTTTATCATCTTCCAGCTCTGTGGTTCAGAAGTCCAACACGGGTTAAATTCAAGGGGTCAGTGGGGCCGGGTTCCTTCTGGAAGCTCAGGGAGAAATCAATTTCCTTGTCTCTTCCAGCTTCTAAAAGCCACCCGCCTTCTCGGCTTGTGTGCCACACCCCGCCTCTATCTTCAAAGCAGGCGACATCACACCTCTCTGCCCTCCTCTGGCCTCACACCTCTCGGACCACAGCGAGGAGGGATTCTCCGCCTGGAAGGACCTCCGTGATTATAGTGGGATGCTGGGCCCACCTGGACCACCCCAGCTTATCTCCCTATTTTAAGGTCAGCTGATGAGCAACCCGCATTCGGCTGGAGCCTTGGCCCCCTTTGCCACGTAAGGTAACGGATTCATCAGTTCTGGGGATTAAGACATGGACATCTGGGGAGCTGAGGGAGCCCCACTCAGGGAGCAGTACAGCTGGTCAAGGTGAGGGGACAGGGCAGGTGGTTTCTTTCAGCCACAAGCTGGGCACCTTGGATCTGCGTGGTCATTTCCACAGTCCCTGGGGAAAATGGTTTGTCGGTGAAGTTAATTTACTTGCAACTTTCCTTTTGGTCTGGGGGAACATCGAGGTGCATCTTTTCAGAAGCGGCACTCGACACGCAGGAACACCATGGGGCGGGGCGGGGCAGGGTGTGGGCGTGCAGGCCACAGGCGTCCACAGTGTTGAAGAGGCCGGTCCAGGCCCGCCCAGCCCCCAGACTCATCCCAGCAACCCCAGGCCACCAGATGCCAACAACATTCCGGTGCCTGGTCAGCAGGGAGGGAAAAGGACCCTGTTGCAGCCAAGCCCCAAGGCTGGCAAAGGCAGGCCCACGCGGGGCCCAGCAAACGCCTGGTGAATCGTGTGAAGACAGTTAACAGGATTGTTGGGGGCCCCAGAGCTCACCTGGCAAAATCAAACAGGCTCAAATCCCAGGGCTGCCACTTACTTGCTTTGTGCACTTGGACAAGTTACTTAACTTCTCTACGCCCCACGTCTGTCCCCACTATCAAATGGCAGGCCATCCTCCTCAGAGCCTCAAGAACCACAGAACACCATGAACCCTACAACAAGTACCTAAATGTCTCAAGCCCTGGAGGTTTCCTGGAAGGAATGCACTAACCAGTATTTTCTATCAAATCTTTGAATTGCTAGCTATGAAAATGCTAGCTTTATTTTTAATGTTTTTACTTATAATAATACATCATGGCAATGAACCTAAAGTACCCCCCAAAATACACTGAAAAATCTAGTGCTCATTTTTTTTTACTTGTAATAACAAAACATTTCAAACAAACCTAAAACTATCCCAAATGATACACAAAAAACTCACTACGACCCATATTTAACTAGTAAAATGAGCCATGAGCTTCAAATATCTTTCACTTTAAGAACTAAAATTGAAAACACAACAAACTCCCCCATTTTTTTCTCCTTTTCACTCCCAAGCAGCGGCCTCCCTGGGGAAGGTGGTGTGGTGTCCTCCCACTATGTTTCTAGAGCTTTCTTTCACTTATTTGTAGCCATCATTTTGTCTACTTGGAAATTTACACGACTGGCATCTTGTTATACTAATGTTTTGCTATGTGCATTTCTAAGGAACTTACTACTTTTACACAGTTAAGGCAGTGAGCTCTGCGCAGGATGGGATTTTGTGGGGTTTGCTTCCTGCTACGTTGGCTCGAGGATCATTTGTGGGGCATAGGAATGGATTTGAGTCACGCCCCTACTGGGGTCCTGCTGTGGGTTCCTGGGGTCCGTGCATTGACCCTCCCGCCCCAGGGCATACCTGCCACGTTGGCCACCCGCAGGGCTTCCTGGTTCTTGGGAGTCTTGGAGCGGTTCTGGCTGCGCTGCTTGCCCCCCGTGGAGCGGGTGCTGCGAAGGTGGACCTCCGTGGCCTTGAAGAAGGCCACCATGAAGGGCTGCTTGTTCTGGGGTCCGTGCCGCCCGATCAGGCCTGCCAACTTGGGGTTGATGCTCTGCCCTAGACCGGAAGCAGTCAAATGCACAGAAGATGGATTACAGGAGAAGCAGTTCGCGGGGAGGGGCTACGTGGTGTGATTTCCATCCTCGCCTCTGTGGTTCACTCATGCACCTGCTATCTGTCCATCCAGCAAGTACTTACTCAGCATTTACGCCAGGTTGTTCAGGAGCTTGGAACACACACAGCAGGGAAGCGCACAGAGGTGTCCTCTGGGCATGCATGGGGGGGGTGCGGTGCGGGCCGGCAGCACAGACCACGGTAGCCCGCCGTGATAGGTGTGCGGGGAGAAAAACGGAGCAGGGTGGGTTAGGAGCCAACTAAGGTTTGCGGGGCTTGGGCTAGAGAAAGTTCCACTTACATTTCCTTGGCCAAATTGGGTCATGTGATCCACCTAATTTCAAGAGGGGGGAGAACCCTGTTTGCCCAAGGAGGGTGGGAACAGTGGCAAACAGCCCCAGTGGTGACAACCTTATGCATGGAGGGGCCATTTGAGCAGAGGACTGGGTAACAGCGAGGGAGGGAGCCATGTGGGTACTGGGGACAGGCATTCCGGGCAGAGGGCACTGCAAAGGTAACTGCTTGGAGGTGGGAGCGAGGTGGGTGTGTTCAAGCAACAGGTAAGAGACCAGCTGCCGGCTTACAGCACCGACTGGGGTGAGCAGGGACGAAGGAGGGGTCGGTGGGATAAATCGGGGGGGCTATCGGGAGCACAGATCATGTAGGGTCCTGTGGGCAACAGCAAGCACTTTTCCTTTACTCTGTTTACTGAATTGAACAGGGTCCCTCCACATTCATGTCCGCCCAGAATCTCAGGATGTGACCTTATTTGAAAATAGCATCTTTGCAGACGTAACTAGTTAAGATGAGGTCATACCGGCCCTGAGGGTGGTGGTGGCAGCTAACCCAATGACTGGTGTCCTTAGAAGAAGGCCACGTGAAAACAGAGACACCGACACACACACACACACACACACACACACACACACACACACACACACA